CTAGATAATAGTACTACCTATTGATAAGAGTAATAGCAGCTCATTTGCTTTGAGGTGTTTTCTAAATTTGTACTTGTTCATCTAACTGCCCTCCCAAAACTTTATTATGATTTCTAACATTCACAAAAGCAGAAAAAAAATAGTATAATGAACTTCCTGAACCCATTACTAAACTTCAAAAGTATCCAACATTTGCCAGCTTGGTTTCCTTTATTCTCTTATCGTCTCTATCCTCCCATTAAATATTTCACCTAGCTGTTTTATTAAGAACAAGTCTATTAAGACATCCTCTGACCTTGTTACTGCTGTATTATAAAACTACCAACCAACCTCTCTAGTCTTCCCAGAAGTAAAGCTAAAACAATAAATAAAATTAAAATTAAAAAGTAAAGCACCGGGGCTGGGGTTGTGGCTCCGTGGTAGAGCGCTTGCCTCGCACCTATGAGGCACAGGGTTCAATCCTCAGCACCACATAAAAAAAATTAAATAAAATAAAGATATTGTGCCCATGTATAACTAAAAATATATTTTAAAAAGCACCTATTCCCCCAGAAGAACAATGACTAAAAAAGTTATGGCTAAATTCCAGACTATCTAAATCAAAGGGCTCATCCATTATCATGCTTGGAAGGCTTTGGAGAAGTGGGTTGTGGCCACAAAACTTAGGCACAATCTGTTTTTACTTGTTTGCACTTGTTTGAACTTCTGAGTTAATTTAATCCAATAAGTATTTACTGATTATCTTCTAAATACGAGAGGCACTATTAAGATGCCAGAAGATAAAGAAAACCCAGCCTCTGTTCTAAATCACAGGGTGGTAAGAAAGAGCAGTACACAAATAACTAAAATATAAGGCAGATATGTTCTTTGCCTTAAGAAAGATGAAACAAACCAAGGGCAAAAATTCCTCTTTTTAATCCACCCACAGAATTTGTAGCCCTCAGGACATACCCCCTGTCTGTATTTATTGCTGTACAGTCTGTAAATATGTTATAGGGGACCTGGGAATTTGGTGACCCACACAGAATAGACTTTGGGATGTAGATCTTTAATGTCACAGTTGCTACTCACCATCCAGCTTCTAGTGGGAGGGAAGTGGAAAGTTCTGCCAAGGGATTGGAAAACAATGGGGCTAATTCAATACCAGGGAGGCCGACACTCAAAGCATTCTACCCTGAGGGAACATACAGCTAGCAGCTTCATAAACAGGACAGGACAGTGGGAGTGTGTTCAGGAGACACGCTAGAGCTATTCTACAGGATTTCTCATGGTTCTCTCCTTGCTACCTAAAAGACCAAGATCTTGATGATCGACTATCAGAAGCCATCAAAAGTTGTCAGAGGAGGGTGGGAAAAATATATATATTTCCCACTTTGGGCAAACCAAAAAGGCAGATGAGGTTTTATGTGAAGAAAGGAGGACTGAGAGCAGAAGGGTTTCACATGGCCCTGAGGTTAGATGTACAAGAGAGTGAAAAGGGCAGGATTGGGGTGGGAGGGAGATTTACACTATAATAAATTTGTTATCAAGATGGTGAGGAGATGGGGCTGGGGATGTGGCTCAAGCGGTAGTGTGCTCGCCTGGCATGCGTGCGGCCCGGGTTCGATCCTCAGCACCACATACAAACAAAGATGTTGTGTCTGCCGAAAACTAAACAATAAACATTAAAAAATTCTCTCTCTCTCTCTCTCTCCCCCTCCCTCTCCTCTCTCTCTTTAAAAAAAAAAAAAAAAAAAAAAAGATGGTGAGGAGAGGATTATTAGGGAGACAAAAAAGAGAATAGAAAGGAGAGCACTGTGAGAAAGACAGGGAGAGGGAAGGTGAAAGACAATTTCAGTTTGAAAAGGTGATCACTATGAAAATGAGGGAGGACACCATGAGACTGGGATACTGGACAGGGTGTGAAGGGAAAGGATTTTAGGATGGAAGACTATATACATTATGAAGGATGGGTTCACGTTGGGATGGAAAGCGCTCATTTCACTGAAGCTGGGCATATCAGAAAGTCTCTAGATGAAAGTTCCATGGAATTGGATATGGCTAAGGATGGCACAAGTGGGGAGAGGAGGTAGAACATTGAGACTAAAAGCAGGAAGGGATCATAGGAAGAAAGACTGGGATACGAGTCTTAATATATATGGACACATGGATTTCTGGGGGTAAGAGACCTACCAGGATGAAGATTGGGGATAAAGCATCAGTGAGCTTGGAGACACCTCTGGGTGAGATCATGGGGTGAGGGCTGGGAACTCCAAGGACCTATAGCTGGGCAAAGGATGTGGAGAGGTATTCATGTTAATTAGGTTCAGGACATGCTACCCCAAAATATGGCAATTTGAGAAACTGTCTCACCTTCTCCTGGCTTTCCCTCCTGAAGCAAGTCATAAGAGCCTCATGTGATAGGTGTTTTCCCTAAACCCAAAGGACTGTCCTATTTTTGAAGGCACAGGGTCACAGAGAAGAATAAACAGGGCTTTCTGTTTCCCTGGTTTGTTACCATTAGATCACACTCTTTCTCTACAACTTCCCATCTTTCATCAAAGGAAGCACAAAAATACAGGTTTAACTTTTTCTTTGGGTATGCATTTCCTTATTGAAGGTCCCGAGCCATGTAAAAAAGTTATACTAAATAAACTTGTATGCATTTCTCTTGTTAATCTTTTGTTATAGAGGCCTTAGTTATGAACCTAAAAGACATTTTCCCTTCCACATAAGGTACAAGGGTTTTAGGGCAAAAGGGGCCAAAAGCCATGAACAATAGGAGGAGAAAGTCACCAAACTAAACCCTAGAGGACACAGAATGAGTTGATACTGAGTTTAAGAACTATAGATGAGAGCTCTATAATGGTGTAAGTGGGTTTTTTGAAGACTGGGTTTAAATCCCCATTCTGCTATTAGTGGTATGAGTTTCAGGTGTATTTCTTTACAACCAAATCCCCCCAAAAAAGGAGAAGGGACAGGAAATGGTGAATATAATAATAATTACCTACTGGGCTTATTGATAGGTATATTTAACTTTTATATATACAAAGATTGGTAACAGTAGGTGCTCAATAAGCCAATTACTATTAAGGAAGTATAAGGGTTAAAAAAAAAAGAACAGTAGTGAGAGGGACTTAGCAGAGATGAGAAGAGGATGGGGATTCCAAGATGTCAGGAGCAGTGCAAGGTATGGATTACATGGTCATTGCTGAACCCTTAGCACCCAGGACAGAGTAAGACCTATGGGTGCTCCTCAGTAAAAACAAGAACTTGGGCTGGGGATATAGCTCAGTTGGTAGAGTGCTTGCCTCACATGCACAGGGCCATGCGTTCAATCCCCAGCACCACAAAAAAACAAGAACTTACACATAAAGGTTACCCATGTGAGAGGCATGGTGCCAAGTGCATGTGTCGCTCAGTCACTAGTGTCATCTTAGTAGAAGTGGACACTAAAGATTCAGACTAACTAAATGGTATGCCAAAAGTTCCATAGCTTAACTCCAGTTAGACCAGAACCTAGATTTATGACATCAATGCCCCAAGCTGAAGCTCTCAGCTATACTGCCTTATAAATAAGTCAACTAATTGGCCCTAATCAAGAGGAATGAGTATGGGCAATTAAGAGTGTACAGGGTCATGGGAACAAGGGGGAAGATTCATAAAGCAAGTGGACCATGGAGTGAGCTTGTAAGACCAAGCTTCTAGGGTAAGGGTACAGAAATGATTACAAACAATTATCTTCACTGAGAACTGCAGAATTACACAGTTGGAAGGAAACTCTGAGATCATCTAGCCCAACCTCATCACAATACTGAGGCCCAGAGGGAAGAAGGGACTTCTCCCAGGTTCCCAAGCACAGCAGTGGCAGAATGGGGACTTGAACCAAGTCCACACACTCAATCCTGAATTTTCTGATGCCTCCAATTATTGCTACTTCATATTCATCTCTATATTCTCCTCACCACAACTGTGCTGGGACACTTGTAGGTCATGTGCTGATTGACACTGGAGGGCTGAGGGCGCAGAGAGGGTTGCCAGCAGGGTGATTTTAGGACGAAAGGAGAGCATGTAACTGAGAATCACGGGGTAACAGGGCAGACTGAAGGTTACGTAGATGAGTGGGTGGGAAATTATTGGTGTATGATTTTACAAGTGGTTACAATGGTTTGAGAGGAGTCACTAAGTTTGTGGGGGAACACAGGGCAGTCTGGGGAAGGTTGGGGGTCACCAAGGAGGGATGTGGGGATCTTGGGGCCCTGTGAGTTACTGGGTTGGTGGGTCTCTGAGACGTACTGAGGTTAGCAGTATATGAATAAGAATGAAGGGTCACCTGGTCAGGTTTGGGGTCAGTGGGTGGGGTGTGGGGTCACAGAGGTGGGAGGCGGGCACTGTCACTGGGTGGGGTTTGGGAGTCATGGGGGAGGAGTCGCAGGTGGGAATGGAGGGGCAGGGACCCTAGGTGGAGGAGGGGCCAGACCGCCGTCCAGTGGCCCGGCCGCCGGGTTAGGGCCGGAGGAGGGTGGGCACGACGGGCTCGGGATCTTCCCAGGGCCCTGCGCCCGCCCAGCCTCCCACCTTGGTCATGGTGGACCCAGTCTCCCCACAGCCACCAACCTGACAGCCCCCGAGGGCGACTCCGCCGACAGACCGCCATGCACCGGGCCCCGCCACCAGCGCCGGCCCCGCAACCCGCCTGCGCCATAGCCCGCCCGCCCGCGCGCGGCTTGCCTCGCGCGATATCCAGGTTCCAGGGCCGCCGCACTTTCCTCCGCTCTCGGCGCGCCTTTACCGGGCCCCGGAACCCGTATAGAAAATACAGGGCACGCTCCACCCCGCCCCCCCTCCGCCGCGGTGGCCGTCTACTTATCCCGGTTCCGGGGCCCCTGGAGCCCCGGCAACCCGGCTCCGAACCGAGGCCCTCGGAGCCCCGCCCGCACCGGCTAGGGTGACGCAGGCCTGCGGAGCCGAGCGCCCGGGGAGGGCGTGGTGACGTCACCACGCCGGGTCAGGGCCCCGGCGCGGCTCGGAGCCCACGGTCGCTATAGCCATCGGGACTGCTACCTGGCCGCTCTAGGGCTCGGTCTACCTGAGGCCTGAGGCTGGAGCCGGGAGGGAGGCCTGGAGGGCTTCCCGCTCTCACGTCTCACGCGGCGTGCGGGCAAGACGGTGCGCGTCTGGAGTCGGTGGCGGCTAACGGCGGGCAGGTTGTAAGGGGGGTTCCCGCGGGTCCCCTGCCGGCACGGGGCTGCCTCCAGGCCCCGGCTGCGCGCCCTCAGCAAGAACCGCGCCCTACGGTCCTGGGGCGCTTGACGTGCGCAGTCCGCAGGCATTGCTTACTGAACCTTGGAGCCAACCCCCTAAAGGAACCAGTTGCAGGTATTAATAGGTCGTTATCGAAAAGGACGACTTTGAGTGGTAAGGTATCTCCTTAGGCACCGTGCCTCGATGGCCCTCGGGTTGTCGCACTCCCATTCCTGGGTCAACTCCGCTCCCAGCCTCAACACCAGCTGCACCCCTGGTAGGCTTGCAGTGGGGTGAACAGAACCCAGCCCCTTTTGCTCTTTTGCCCTCCAAGCAAGGAGGGGATGCGAATCGGGCATTTTCGGAAACCTGAGGGAAAATGAAATGGAAGCGAGCTTTCCGTAAAGTGAGTAAGTGAATAAGTAAATAAGGAGGGGGAGCCGGCGCCTTGGCGCACACCTGCAATCCTAGCTACTTGTAGGCTGAGGCTGGAGGACCGCAAGTTCGAGGCCAACCTTAGCAACTTAGCGAGACCTTGTCTCAAAATAGAAAATAGGACTGGGGATGTAGTTCAGTGATAGAGCACGCAGGGTTCAACCCCCAGAACCAAAACAAAAACAACACAGAGGGGATTAAAGAACTGATAGCTTGCCACTTCAGAGTAACTGGGAGCCTGGAGGAATTATATATGTAGAGAATATATATCTATATCTCCTCAGGCTCTAAATGTTTGTGTTTTTTTTTTTTTAAAACAAGACTGGGGTTTGAACACAAATCGCTCTACCAATAACCTACATTCCCAGACCTTCCCCCCCCCCCACAGGGACAGGTTGCTGAAGCTGGCCTCGAACTTGCGATCATCCTGCCTCAGCCTACCAAGTCATTAGAATTTCAGTAGGGCATGGTAAAAATAATTTTAAGTAAGTAAATTTGAAACATTTACAAAATATTGGGTTTGGGGCTTCTTAACAGTTAAAGATGCTTGGGGTAGGGGCACAGAGGTCCTGTTTAAACTTCCTCTTCTGTCTGAAGAACTTAACTGAAAAGCCTTCCCCTGTTTTGTTTTGGCACAGCATTTCCAGAGGCGGAACTGGGACTAGAATTTTCACCATTTTCATGTCAGTGAGTGACAACTGATGGACCATTTCTATGGTTAATAATTAATCCTTTGTAGATTTCCTAGTATATAAAAAAAGAAATAGCCTGACCACTATGATGTCCTCTTTCTGTTCCTTTTTGTTGGAGGTTTGACAAGTGATTTTTCATAATACAGAGAGTATATAAGTAGCTCCTTTTTCAGCTTGGATTGTTGAGTAGAAATACAACGGGAATAGAACTAGAATGTATCCAAGTTTGTCCCCCACCACCTTTTTCCATATTAAAAATACATCTGTCCTTTGTTAGAGTCCTCGTAGAGCCTAATCTCTTGGCTGATTACCTCTCCCATCATATATTTAACAAAAAACAGGATCTTCCCAGGGCCCTGCCTGAAGTAATGATTCTAATAATGAGAAATTTCAGGTCCTGAGGGGAACTGGCGTGGAAGATATTTTGGAGAAGAGTACTGAATATCATTTCTAGCAGTTCTGTTCCCCTAGCCACCGACAACATAGAGGGCTAGTGTTCCTCAGACATTTAAAAAAAATAGTTGGGCATGGTGGTGCACATCTGTAGAGAGCTCCTGGGTTCCACAAAAAAATAACAACAAGAAAAAAATTCTCTAGCAGAAATTTTGTATGGTTCGATTCTCATATTCCTCATTCATTTCCCATAATTACTGTATTACTAAACTATATAAATAATTAAAATTTTTATTGAGGATACACCTCTTAATGAGAAATTTAGTGTTTCTACCCAAGTAGCTCAGGTATCATGGATGAATATTATTCAATGATAGGAAGATATAAGGTAAGACATCAATTCTCTCTCTCTCTCTTTTTTTAATAGACTTAGTGTTGAGAAACCTTGTTCACAAAATTGGAAAATGAAGAGATTTGTTACAATGATATTCCTCAAGTCTTTGAACTTCTAAATTGTATGCCAACAATCACAATGAGATCTATTATCAAATATTGTCAAAAATATTCCTTTAATTTTATTAAAAGCAAAGAATTGGAAACCACCGATCTTGCAAAAGGACTTATTATCTAGTTATTAGAATCTCAGTTTTAGTTTATTAAAAATCATTTTATCTGTTAACCTTTTCACTTAGATAAATGTTGTTAAACATTTATCCAAACATTTAACCATTTAAACAACAACAACAAAAAGACAAAAACAGTAACAACAAAATACCTGCCATTTGTGTAATTGGCAAAACCAGTCTTCATTTCAAATTGGTCAATCAAATTAGACTTACTGTCTGTCAAGAAAACATCTGACTTATCCATACTCCTTTTTCAGTACATATTTTTTGATAAAATTCTTTTATCATTACATGTTTTCAGAATCTTTCTGTTAAATTTCTGTAGTGCAGATTCAGCTCCGTCTGTATAAAAAAACATCTCAGCTGGGCGCAGTGGCTCAGGACACTGAGACAGGAGGATCACAAGTTCAAAGCCAGCTTCAGCAAATTAGTGAAGTCCTAAGCAACTTAGGGAGGCCCTATCTCAAAATGAAAAATAAAGTGGTCTGGGGATGTGGCTCAGTGGTTAAGCACCCTTGGGTTCAATCCCTGGCATCAAAAAAAAAAAAAAAAAAAAGACACAAAACAACAACAAAACACCTGCCATTTGTGTAATTGGCAAAACCAATCTTCATTTCAAATCGGTCAATCAAATTAGACTTACTGTCTGTCAAGAAAACATCTGACTTTATTCTTTAATTTGAATAAATGTGTTTATAATTATTTTGAATAATATTATAAAATTACTGGGAAATTATTAACTATTGCTTATAAAATAGGTTGCTCAAAATAGTCAATATTAAATTTATAGAGAGCTAATATTAACAAAAATGGTAAAAACAAAACAACACTGTTTCTCATATCATTTGGAATAATGCCATATAATATACAGCTATATCCATCAGTTTTGAGAAATGAGATATATCCCTTGGGTAAATGGGTGGGTCTGCTTGTGTCAAACTCTGATGTTCAACTTTTGGGAATAATGAATTAATCATGTCTAAAAACCAGAAATAACTGCGGTAATTTTATGAGACTTCATGATCCAACTTTTTCTTATGTGTTTAAAAAAAGATTTGCTAAGAATTAATGGACTGAGAAGCTAGCAAACAATTTCATTCTTTGCTAGTAGGAGATAGAATATAGTAAACATTTTGTAAGATGAAGCTGGGTGTGGTGATGCATGCCTGTGAGCCCAGCAGCTCAGGAAGCTGAGGCAGGAGGATTTGGAATTCAAAGCTAGCCTCAGAAACTTAGCAAGGCCTTCAGCACCTCAATGAGACCCTGTCTCAAAATACAGGGGGCTGGGGTGTGGCTCAGAGGTAGAGCGCTCGCCTAGCATGCGTGAGGCACTGGGTTTGATCCTCAGCACCACATAAATATAAAATAAAGATATTGTGTCCACCTATAACTAAAAAAAAAAAAATTAATTGAAAAAATAAATAAATACAAAAAAGGGCCGGGGATATGGCTCAGTGTTTGAGTGCCCCAAGGTTCAATCCCCAGTACCCCCCCAAAAAAAAGATGAAATAAGAGGAGGCCTGATTGTAATGAGAATATTTTGATAGGAAGGGGAAAACAACCCCTCCCTCCCAACTCTCCAGTTTTTACACCCTGGACCATGTATTCACTGGAGGCGAGGAGTATGCTTTTGCAGAGTGGAATAAGGACTATGGTGAAAACGTGTGCATGAATACGGTGACTGGCTCTCACGTTGGTTTTAGGAAAGATTTCATATGGAAGTTAAGATTTCACATGAAAATTTATTCCCTAAAAATTTTCCTCAGACCGATTTCCTTGCGCAGATATCACTTGTAAAGTCTTCGCATACCCTTGGAAACAATTCCTGTCTTCATGTACCCCACTTTAAAATCTTATCAGTATAGGCTGACCCATACTACAATGGCTATACCTTATTCTGGAGCACCAGTGCAAGTGTCCCAGGAAGTAAGAAGGAAGGCCTGGTGTTATTGAAGTAGGTTTATGGAGACATCAAAGAGGATGGCTCCAGGAGGGTACAGTGTGATGATCAGCTTTACAGTGAAAAATGTGATTTTGTCATCTCATACAAAGATTTTGTCACACTAAATCAGACTCATAGAAGGTTAACATTATAAATTAGAATGCCAGTGCATTTATACTCACAGACACCAAGTGGACTAGATTCTTTCCTATTTTGGAAATCTATGTGGGAATGTAAGTTAGAAAGTTACATGAGTGTGGCTATTATTATCAAGCTATGGTAGTTATACACTCACTGTTTGGCATATAATAGTAGCTCAGCAATTGTGAAATGAACTCACAGGCTGGCCTCAAACTTGCAATTTTCCTGCCTCAGCCTCCCGAATAGCTGGGATTACAGGTGTGTGCCACCATACCCAGCTTCAGCAAGTCCTACTCTTAAATGGCTATATAATGTAAATATTAAATCCAGTAAAATTTCATGTCATGGAGTTGTATATTTGCATTAATTTTATGTATCACTTCTAAGCTAGAAAATAAGATTGTTCATGTATAAAAAATTGGAGATTGCTTTCCCATGCCCTGTAGGAGTAGTGATGATGGAATGGCTAAATAATCTGTGTTTCAAAATTCCCTTTGGTGGCCAGAGTGTATTGTTGAACCAGGCACAGTGCCCCACACCCGTAATCCTAGAGACTCAGGAAGCTGAGGCAGGAGGATCACAGATTTAAGGCCAATCTCACGCAGCAACTTAGTGAAGCCATCTCAAAGAAAAAAAAAAAAAAAGGACTAGGGATATATAGCAGCACAGTGTTGTAAAGCACCCTTGGGTTCAATCCTCAGTACCAAAAGCCAACCAAACAAACAAAAATAGACAATAACAAAACCACTGTTGAATGATGTTCTGTGCTAGAGGTGAGCTATCCTAACTAGGAAAGAGTCTGAGCCACCTGTGGCCTGGACAGCTTTTGTGGATTATATTGTGGTGAGAAGGAACAGTAGTCTAAAATTTCCCTCACTCCCTATATTCCCCCTCAGGAGATAACTGGTTTTTGTTTTTGCAATACTGGGGATTGAACCCAGGGATGCTCTACTACTGTACTACATCCCCAGGCCCTTTAAAAATTTTTGTTTTTAATTTTGAGACAGAACCTCACTAAGTTGCTGAGGCTGGCCTCAAACTTGCAATACTTCTGCCTCAGCATCTCAAATTTCTGGGATCACAGACATGCACCACTATGGCTGATAGGAGGTAATTCTTGATACTTTTAAAGATAGACAGGAGACAAGCCTATTTATATTCTAAAATCAATAGGAATAAGATAAAGACTTACCCAAATTCGGTAAGTCTTCTGTCAGAAGTTACTTTGTCTCCTCAAGCCTTTTTTTTTTTTTTTCAGTTTTCGGTGGACACAACATCTTTATTTTATTTTATGTGGTGCTGAGGATCAAACCCAGCGCCCCGTGTATGCCAGGCGAGCACGTTACCGCTTAAGCTACATCCCCAGCCCTCCTCAAGCCTTTTTCCAGCTCTAGAATAAGCTATTGAGATAGAGGAACAGATGCCAGGCTGAGGAGTTTCATTTAGTATTTTAATAATAATAAAAAAGACAGTACAAAATCCAAACATTTCTTTTTACAACTTCAGATACATATTTTTCCCCAAGTGCAAAATACTCTATGAACTGCATCATTTGCTGTTTATTGTTGATTGTGTAGGAGATGCTTTATCGGCAGCAGTGGAAGGCAGATATAAATACAATATTTTGAGATTTCTTCTGTATTAAAAAAAAGCCTCCCACATGATTATTAATGATTATTCTTTGAAACTTCAGTTCAGCTCACACAGAAGAACAAAGTTCTTAGTTGTTCAAACTGCTACAATCTGTGTTGTCTAGATAAGCTGATAATAGAACTGGGTTTTATTCCCTCTAATCATACAGTTTCTTAAAGGATTTCTAATCCAAATAATGGCCCAAAGACAGGGTATGCTACCTTTGAGACAGGTCAGATTTTAAAATATCCTTGCTGTTGCTTGCTTCCACTTTGCTCTTACTATATGTAAGAAAGAACATTTTCTGCTTATGGTCAGTATACTTTGTTTCCCTAGTTTAAGGCTGTCATATTGAGGTTAAGCAGCAAATATAAATATTTGAATGCTCCATAACATTTTTTGACGTGTTGAGATACGACCGACCTCCTAATCCCGTCCAGAGTCACCTCAAACATGCAATATGGACAACACAAAAGACCAGGACTATACTGCGAAACTTGCAGCAACAAATCTGAGTCTCTACCACCTCCAACTGCCAAACCAAAGCAATCACAGCTCAGTGTCAAGACTTTGGGATTTTTTAGGCCCAGGGTGCTCAAGTCCAGGTTTTGAGATATTTTCTCTAGACTCTGAGAATTCCCTCAGGCTTCGGGATGGGCCTGGCCTGGTAATACCCAGAGGCGGAGAAGTGAAGAGGAGCTGCAGCGCTGCTGAGGATCTAAGTGCTTTTCTGATACACATCACTTGGTGCTTGGAGCTCTCATCAAAATGGCTTTCCTTTGCCAGACGAAGATCAGGGCAGGCTTGGTACCAAGATGAATGAAGCTTCACAGTTCTGTGGCCCTATAAGCACCCCATCCTGCAGGGAGGCCTTTGGGTCACTTCATAAAGAATTCCTATGTACACTATCTCCCATGTTCTTCCACTGGTAAAAACCTCTTTAAATGTCTGACCTGTAAAGCCCTAGAGAGTCCCTGAGTGTTGACTCCTCTTTAGGTCCACTTAATCCCTAGTTTGAGCCCCAGGGCTAGTTCGTTCCTCTCTAGTTTCAGCAGCAGCTTTGCCTGGATTCTTAATTCCCAACTTGGATGACCTAAATTAAATTTAGTGGACAATATCAAATCTTTACCTGATCACCAAGATCTGTCTTGATATCAGTTAAAGAGGCCTAGTGGTCTACACTTTCCATATTGTGGAACTCATTTGCAGGTCTCATAAACTATGAAATAAATGATTGGAAGAAGTGTGTTTATGTGTATGT